AGCAAATAATCTACTTGTATAATATTTAAAAATAATGCGTCCATTATACTGATGTACCTATTAAAGTGAGTTCTGCATATTCCATTTTCTAATCTACTTATAAAGTAGATAATAATATAAAATGAACTGACGTAGATTTATGTAAATTAATTTTAGTAAAGATTTGAATTATTATTAATTTTTTTTTTTTATTGATATACATTCTATATGATTCCCAGTTTCTTGTTCATTGTTAATTACCTATAATATACTACATTTTTTTTGAAATTCTAGTTTTATCATGTTGTATATTAATATTAATTTATATAAKAACCTAAGAAAAATTAATTAATTAATTAATACATTTTAATTATATCATAGTAATGGATATTTACTTTTAAAAATATTTCTATAAATTTACTTCTCAATATTTCAATGTGTAAAATATAATATGAATATGAATTTCTAATTTTTTCATGGATTATTCAATCCAATTTAATATATTATTATTACATTTTCTATCAATTATTTATTTATCATATTGATGGGTATTTTTTTAATCACAGATCATTTGCAACACAACAGTCAACAATCTTATACATTTTAGTACAACTCTAAGACATATAACAAGTCATACATTTTTAAAAATATATACCTAGTCAAYCACAAAAAATCTCATAGACAAATCTCAACAAGTTAATATATAACTTAATTAAATAAGAATATCTAGGTAACACTTACATGGCGTAATAGATGGCCCATGTTAATTCTAAAATTCCAATCGTTATTCATCTGTTAGGCTTGTCCACCGCGCGAAGACSCGAAATCTTTGAATTGTCAGCCAATTGGCCGTAAATTAGCTAAATTGATCTTTTATATGGGCGAATAACTCAAACTAATTTGAATAACAAACCTGGTCTCATCGTATGTTTGCGCTTTTTGCGTGTGTAATTACACGCGTGGCTCGATGCGCTCGATTGGCCACGTAGTATGCCACGTAGTATGCCACGTAGTATTGCGTCGTCTGCAACGTTGGCTATACTGTAAGGGACGCCGCCGCCTCCGCCGCCAGTTGAGTTCTCGGCATGTTGTTTGTTGGTTTTTACTGGTTTCTATTATATTTTTATATTGCATGTTGCTCTATTATATTGCTCGTTGCGTGTTGTTGTACTTTTTTGCTCGTGAGTCTGTTCCGACTTCAAAATATTGTACCCGTTGTTCGTCGGCCATTTTTGCTGCTCTTCCGCAAAAGGACGTGCTCCCGTCTCCACAATCGCCGTGTGGTGTTCACAGCCTTAAGTCGAACCACTATTCAGTGCTCATACGCTCACGAGTACAGTCTGTAATTCGATTGCTCCACCAGCGCGTTAGGTTAGGTTAGGTACGCTTGAGCGCGCAGTACAACCCGTCGATCCACGTGAGTTGGACCCAAGATTATTGGATTCAGACGATTCGGTAGCAGCTCAGCAAGGATCATCTCAAGAAGTCGGTTTTACGGTGCTCACCATTTCTCCTCTATATTGTTGTCCCCTTATTTTATTATTATTATTTGGAATATTTGTTGTTATATCATATTATTTTGTGCTCCCAATACAAATGGTTGACATATCATTAAAATATTCCCAATCACAAAGGTCTGGAGGACTTGGCGCCCGGCGTACGCCCTAATAAGGCCCGTTGGCGTCAACACCGTATAGTTCTTAGAATGATGTTGGTAGTCGGCACTAGTCGCTGTCCATGGACATCGGTGTGCACTTTAAAAGTATTGATAGAAATACAATACATGATAAAAGAAGGGTCTGAGTTAAAATGTTTTAGTCATATATCCGCGAAGCTGCAGCTAATGGATTTGGACAATACATTTTATTATATAACTGTATCCATATGATATTGAAATTTAAAACCAGTATATTTAGCTATAAAAGTACCAATTTTTTTATATTATAACATAGGATATTTCATAGAATATTATTATTATTTTTTTTTTTTTTAAATTGAGCCTCAACAACAAAGGTTATTGGCTTTAAACATTAATATTTTTTACACAAGTATGAAGCATTAACAATAATATATACATAACAATAAGAATAGTATGAAAAAAAAAGATTGAAATATATCTAGATTAAATTAGTTTATATAGTTTAGTTTGATTTAAATAATTAATTAATTGTTCTACGTTGATTGKCTGTGGACTTAGAGCTTCTTCCAGGTTGTCTTCTATGTTGAGCTTAGCTCTGATGTCGGTGAATTTACGGCAGTGGCATATTAGATGTTCAACCGTGGAAGTTTCACCGCAAGTTTGGCATTGGTCAGGTGTTCAGATCTGTTCATAAGGTGTTTATGAGTCACCCATTTATGACCTATCCGTAGTCTGTTTAAAATTACTTCCTGGCGTCTTGGTAATGAGGAGCAGAATGGCCATGGGAGACTGTGGATTTTATTTTATTTAGCTTGGTGTGAAGTGTTGACCACAAGATCTGTCATTGAGTTAAAATGTGGTTGTCAATGACGGATTTTAGATCCTGGAAAGTATAGGTGTGAATTTTGTAAGAGAGATGGGAGGAGATGGCTTCTTTGGCATACGTATCAGCTAATTTATTTCCCCGGATTYCAACGTGGCTAGGTACCCAGCAGAGAATTATGGTCTGTGCATTGGTTTTGAAAAGGTGTAACTGATTGTGGATTTTTCTAGATATGCTGTTGGGTTGTTGTATATTTAGAATACCGGTTAATGTGCTGAGAGAGTSACTAAAGATTATGGCTTTATTTATTCTATTTTCATATATGATATCGAGATCTTGGGAGATCGCAGTGGCTTTGGCTGGTTAAAGACTGAGCAGAAATCTGGTAGATTGAACATTTGTTTTATTTCGTTATATACCACTGTGGCTCCCACACCCAAGTTTATTTTAGAGCCGTCAGTGAAAAACTTAGTATGTTCTTGGTGGTTGTCCGAGAATGAATAAAATTCTTTTCTATATACGCTGGGCAAAGTATAGGCTTTGGTAAGTAGGGATAATGTGGTGTTTATATTGATATCCATGATCCATGGGGGAATGTAAGGACATTCGTGTCTGATAATTCCGGAAAGATCAATATTTGTGTTTTCTAGGAGGYTTCTAWTACCTTGGTGTGAGAGAAGGTTGTTTTGAAAACACTTAGCAGCTAGAAGCATAGCATTCTTTTTCCTTATTAGGCAGATGGGAGGGGTTTGGGTAATCAGGGTTGGGCAGTATCAATGATACAATTGTATCTTGTATCTTGTATCATGATACATAATTTTAAAGTATCAAGTATCATGTATCATAATACATTTTATACCAGTATCTTGTATCTTTTTGCCAAAAGATACAAGATACTTTTGTTGTAAAAATGTGTACTGAATAGTGCCAAGRCATTTCGATTTTCGTTATTAGATAATTTCGTCATGGATTGTTATACATGTAATTTCGTGATATTTCTTTCATCGTTTGTAACGAACATACTTTTTAGCCGTAAACATCGAAATAGCGTCAAATAGTACCCTAGGTACTAAATGTCAGTTGACGTAGAGTCATTGGGCGCGTGTGGTATATCAATTGTTTCCTATTAGTTTATACATTTTGTATCATTATTTTACATGCGTTCAGCTCATTTGTTACGTACCTACTTGTCCAAATCTTTGATTTTTGGACCTGAGTTAAAGTTAAGTGAATTATTTTCATCGAATTTAAAACTAGAAAACATGCTTGATGGTTAGGATAGGTTAAGGTTAGGTTAGGTTATTAATTATTACCAAACCATTATCACCAAATTACTTAACTTTTCTCAACAACTTTTGAACTTTTATAAACACTAACCAAATGACTTAAAATTCAAAAAATGAATATCTGATTCAATAACTGATAATCCGTAAATTTTAATAATGGTTAAAAATAGTGTATGAAATTTAAAAAGACTAATAATTAGGTACGTACGCATGAGATAATAATTAAATCTTAAACAAAGTCTAAACTCTCCTTATTCCACGACGGAAAAGATCATGAGTACCATAATATACGATAATATATTAATATGGAGAAGATCTCGAATACTATAATATTGTACCTACGCTACGCCACTGATAAATCGTTAAAAATAAGGAAACGCAGTCATACTCATCATCAATATAGGTGCCTATATTATAACATTGGGTGAAATTTGAACATAATAATTCATGTTAAATCAACGATCGGCAACTGGCGGACCGCGGAACGCAGAAAGCCTCCGGGACCGTTGACATGTCTTAACATTTTTTCTTCATATTACTATTATAAGAACATAAAGATTTAGCAAACATTTTTTTCACTGAACCTCATTTATTTACTACTTTAATCTTCCGGAACCCAATAGAAAMTACTTTCCGACCACTGTGTTAAATTATATTTTGTAGTTGTGATTTCGGTAAGTGAATAAGGGATGGGACACTTCTGTCATATATTGTATAATTTATTTTACATGTGATAATAACAATAATTAAATATTATACCTGCATCTATAATATCAACGTATATAAATACAGTAAGCATACGTGATGATTCGCGTGGTATATGGTGTGCACGCAGCAAGTTCGTAATAGTATTATATTGGTATGAACACGAGAGTCGGAGCTTTTGTGCGGGAGGAGGTGTTTTGTATTGTGTTTTAATATTATTATTATACATCAGAATAATAATAATAATAATAATATAATGTTATAAAAGCGAAGGGAATCCACTCGAAGGCGGGTCCCGAAACGCCGGAGAGGGCGTATTTATGTCATCTCGCGGCGCGCGCGGTAAAAGACACCGTCGTCGTCGTCGTCGTCCGCGGTTTTCGTGGACACGCTTGGGCGGACGAGGCGACGGCGGCGGCGGCGGGCGAGCGCGAAAGACGACGGCGCTGCGCCGAGGGGAGGCAGTGGAGGGAGGCGTCGTCGAATAATTCGCGTCCGACCGACAGCGGCTGCGGTGGTTGCGGCGGCACATGTTTTCGTCGCGCAGTTCAGTCGGCTCCGGAACGCGACCGCGTGGCCACGTGTTCTGCTGCTCGTCTTGTCTCCGCCGCGCACCGCTCGTCCGGTCGACCGTTGTTGCCGCCKCTGCACACGACGAATGCGATCGTCGCCACGCCAATAATTATTTTTGTTGATATTATTACCCATTTCGGTGATACCACGGTAACCGCACGCCGTTTGACATTTTAAAAGGCCCAGCTGAGCCCACCAAGTCGGGTACCAACGAGTTCCCCGACATGGACTTCCAGAGCGCCATGGAGACGTTTGCCGAAGCGTGGGTGGTCGCCAGTGCCAAAGGCACATTTACCTACCCACCGATCAACGGATTCCAGGTCAGTTTTCTTACTATAATTCCGGAAAAATATTATATATTTTAAAATTGAGTATCTTAAAACCGTAATGATAAAATATTTGTATTTTTTATTTTCTTGTATTTACCACACATTTCAGATAGAATATCGCGAAACCATTACCGTTTTAAAATAATATATATGTATGTTTACACAACGATGATATTATGGTATAATAATATAACATTGTCTTGGAGTCACGTGATGAAAATTTTTTACCAGTATCTAACCAGAAAATTATGGAAGTAGCTATATAAACTYGCCACGAAAAACTGGATATGATAATGATATTGTAGTGTACCCAAATGTTCGCGAACGTTTAAGTACACAAGTAAAAAATGCATTCATTACTCATTCGGTACACACACTAAGTCTGAGAAAAACACTTAATTTCAAAACATTTTGTATTTTCGTGCGTATTACGAATGATAAATCGTCGTTTTCGAGCTAATCGTAAAAATTTTTCAACTSACGTCCCAAGTTTTAATTTACAACTTTGAAAACTCGTAAAAAGATTGTAAGGCTTATTAAATCTTATGTCCAACTGTATATTATTATTAATATCTCGTATAATGATATTTCAAATAATATTAATTGTTAATATTTCGCAACAGAATTTAATTACTGCATTTATGCAATAATATGTAAATGATTATCAAGCTTAAATGAATTTATTTTTAGATTTCAATAATTTKTATATGTTGAATTTTAATTGCATTTAATGTGTACGTTTATTTTTGTCTGAATAAATTAAAATAAGATAATTCACATTATGTGCTAGAATAAATAAAAAAATATAAAAATCTGGCAATTAATAATAGTTAATTATTTCCAAATTAATCATTGTAAAAAAAAAAGAATAAAATAAACAATAGAAACTTTCGATGCAATCGTTTGAATTCATAACTGCATAATAAATATTTAGACAATAGTTGTTTAAATGTCACAATTAGCAAAATCACTACTATAATAAATATACGATAATGAACAAAATAACATTGTTCGAGATTTAAATAAAAAGTGATCTACCTTTAATCTTTAAATCAATAAACTTTTATTTAATGACACAATTATGTTTTATCTGCACATTTAATTTCCAATTACACCATCCATGTAATAAAATTATGTCAAAGGAGCTGAGAATACATAAAAATATTTGAAACTATGTAGGAATTAATTGAAAAAAAAA